TGAAACCAGACAGAGCTAAGACAGCTAGGGTGGGACCCGGACGTAGTGCTCAAGAAAGGCTGAGGGCGTGGCTCAGGGTGGAGCCCTGCCTAGGATCCCCCAGTGACGGGCTGTGGGCGTGGCTTCAGGGGTGGAGTGACAGACTAGAATCCCCTAGTGAGGGGCTATGGGCGTGGTTCAGGGGTAGAACCCCTGCCTAGAATCCCCCAGCGAGGAGTTGGGGGCGTGGCTCAGGAGTGAAGTCCCTGCCTAGAATCCCCAGTGAGGGGGCTGGGGACACATGTGGAGGTCCAGGTGCCACACATAAAAATATGTTTAAACCACCAAGTGTGCAGTGCTCCTGGAACCCACAGGAAAATGAGGTCGCAATTTAAAGACTCTCACAAGGCAGGAGTGGCCTGTCTGAGGACCCCATCCCTGCATCTCTGACCAAGACATACCACCTTCTCTGGACAGTTGACCCGTGGTGTTCGAATCTGGACTTCAGGTGCCGGTGCTGGTACCTGCCAGGGCTTGGGCCCAGCTCTTGGGACACTGGCTGCTCCATCATCTGCACTGGCAGCCTCACCCTCGCCCTCGCTGCGGCTGCCCACATTGGTCTGGGCTCCCAGAGCCCGGTCCTCGGCCCCCTCAGGGTTGGAGCGAGTATGAGGCCTGGGCTCAGGTGTCAGCTCCTCCCCTTCCTCCTCCTCCTCTTCTTCCTCCTCCTCGGTGGGGCTGTTGGCCTCAGCCACCTCCATGGCTCCCGGGTGCTTGGATGGAGAGGGGATAGCGGAAGCCAGGGTCCTGCTTTAAGAGTTTTTGAAAGCAACTAGTTACTAAAACCAGAAGCTGAGCTATGAGCCCCTTGTTGCGCGGTTGCAGAATGGCTCCCTCAAGAGTGAGGCCAGGACAGATTCAACACAATGCCCATCAAAATCCCAGCAAAATTCTTCACAGACCTCAAGAGAACGGTACTCAACTTCATATGAAAAAGCAAAAAACCCAGGATAACCAAAATAATCCTGTACAACAAAAGAATTTCTGGAGGTATCACAATCCCTGACTTCAAACTCTACTACAGAGCTGCAGTACTGAAAACAGCCTGGTATTGGCATAAGAACAGACAGGAGGATCAATGGAACCAAATAGAAGACCTGGATATCAATCCACACATCTTCGAACACCTGATTTTTGACAAGGAAGCAAAAAATATCAAATGGAAAAAAGAAAGCATATTTAACAAGTGGTGCTGGCATAATTGGATATCAACATGTAGAAGAATGAAAATAGACCCATATCTATCACCATGCACAAAACTCAAGTCCAAATGGATCAAAGACCTCAACACAAAGCCAGTCACACTGAACCTCATAGAAGAGAAAGTGGGAAATACACTTGAATGCATTGGCACAGGGACCCACTTTCTAAATAGAACCCCTGCAGCACAGACACGGAGAGAAACAATTAATAAATGGGACCTCCTGAAACTGAAAAGCTTCTGTAAAGCAAAGGACACGGTCAATAAGACAAAACGACAGCCTACAGAATGGGAAAAGATTTTCACTAACCCCACATCAGACAGAGGTCTGATCTCCAAAATATACAAAGAACTCAAGAAATTGGACACCAAAAGAACACATAATCCATAAGAAAAATGGAGTACAGACCTAAACAGAGAACTCTCAACAGAGGAATCTAACATGGCTAAAAGACACTTAAGGAAATGTTCAACATCCTTAGTCATCAGAGAAATGCAAATCAAAACAGCTCTGAGATTCCATCTTACACCTGTAAGAATGGCCAATATCAAAAACTCTGATGACCACTTATGCTGGAGAAGTTGTGGGGAAAAGGGAACACTTCTGCATTGCTGGTGGGAGTGCAAGCTGGTACAATCCCTTTGGATGTCAGTGTGGCGATTTCTCAGAAAATTAGCAAACAACCTTCCTCAAGACCAAGCAATACCACTTTTGGGTATATATCCAAAGGATGCTCAATCATGCCACAAGGACATGAGCTCAACTATGCTTATAGCAGCTTTGTTTGTCATAGCCAGAACCTGCAAACAACTTAAATGTCTCTCAACCGAGGAATGGATAAGGAAAATGTGGTACATTTACACAATGGAGTACTACACAGCAGAAAAAAATGGCATCTTGAATTTTGCAGGAAAATGGATGGAGCTAGAAAACATTATATTGAGTGAGGTAACCCAGACACAGAAAGACAATTATCACATGTACTCACTCATAGGTGGTTTTTAAACATAAAGCAAAGAAAGCCATTTTACAAGCCACAATCCCAGAGACAACCTAGACAACAATGAGGACCCTAAGAGAGACTTACATAGATATAATCTACATGGGAAGTAGAAAGTATAAAAAGACAAGATCTTCTGAATAAATTGGGAGTGTGAGGACCTTGGGGATTGGGTTGAAAGAAGGAGGGGAGAGGCAGGGAGGAGAGCAGAGAAAAATGTAGAGCTCAATAAATGAAAGAGTGAGGCCAGGAACCACCCACAGGAGAAGTAAATAACAACTTTTTCATTTTCCTTTTTTGTTTGTGACACTGTTTCATGTAGCCCAGGCGGGCCGCTAACTCACATACGTAACATACATGGTTTAGAGTGACCTGGTAACCCTGACCCTCGGCATCCACCTTCTGTATGTTGAGATTGCAGCACCCGGTGTATGTGGTGCCCAGGGCCTCATGCATGCTGGGTAAGCAGCACTCCATCAAATGAACTGTGCCCCAATCTTAGCTTTCCACCTCTTGTAACAGGGCAAACACTGTCTCTGCCCTTCACTGGGCCAATAAACACAGCTGCCTGGTCACCGGGAATACTCAGAGATGGGGATTTGACCCAGTAAGGCCTTCGGTGGTCCCACACCTGAGAGTTCCAAGAGACAGAAAAGAAAAAGAGACCTAATGGGTTTGCCAGGCTGAGAACATACAGTTGAAGGCTTTTCATGCACCCCTTTTCCCCTGGGGCGGCGCCTGTGCGAAGAGACGCCTGGCTGACCGCCTAAGCCACTTCTGGGCGCCTGGATCCAGCTGTGCCTGAAGCCTTTCCTGAGCGCCCCACTTGCCTTGCTGGCTTTGGCGAGCTTGTGTCTGGGTTTCTGTCGCCCGAGGCTACAGCTCGTGAGTGACTGGATCGTGCACGAGAGCGTGGCGCGGACTCGGGTGGTCAGGTCTATGGGAGGCAGACGCCCATCCAAGTCGCCGACCGCGCAATAGATGCACGTTTCTTGCGAAGTCTCCGACTCGGGACTCCACAGACCCCAGCTCCTCAAACAGAACGAACCTAGAGCTGCAGCAAGCCGGATCGAAGTTTGATCACAGCGACACAAAGCTCGCGCGCGGTCACACAGCAAGGTTCCACTCTGCAGACTAGGTACCGTAGCCAGTCAGTCACAGGGTTCTAGATAGCCGCCATCTTCCTGACCGGAAGTTTGTGAGGAGATGCCGCGACGCCTTCTGGGAAATGTAGTTCCAGGAATCTCAGGACCTGGACGCTGATAGGCTGAGGCGATCCCGGAGGTATAAATTAGAGTATAACTGGTAGGAGTGGGGCTGAGATAGGGTACTATTGGGAATGGGTGTGGTCCAGAGTTGACTTAAGCAAGATTGGGTGGAGCTTGTAGTTCTGGCTTCAGCAGACAACAGTTGTCAAAGACAAAAGTTGTCAAAGATGGGGCTGGAGAGATGGCTCAGTGGTTAAGAGCATTGCCTGCTCTTCCAAAGGTCCTGAGTTCAATTCCCGGCAACCACATGGTGGCTCACAACCATCTTTAATGAGGTCTGGTGCCCTCTTCTGGCCTGCAGACATACACACAGACAGAATATTGTATACATAATAAATAAATAAATATTAAAAAAAAAAGTTGTCAAAGATTCTGCTGTGATAGGGCAAGAAACTGACCTGGGTGGGGCTGATTGATGATTGATAGGATAGGGTTTGCCAAAGGCTCTCTCAACTATTTATTTCTGCTTGTTTGTTTGTTTATTTATCTATATCTATCCACCTATTTATTGATTGATTTTTTTTAGGCAGGGCTTCTCTGTCTTAGCTGTTCTGGAACTCTCTTTGTAGACCAGGCTGATCTTAAACTCCCAAGTGCTCTCTGGCCCCCAAGTGCTGGGATTAAAGGCGAGTGCCACCACCGCCCGGCTTATTTCTGTTCTTATTTTACATATGTTGACACTCATCCAATACTATCGCGATGGGGGCTGATAGTGCACACCTGTCATTCCAGCACCCCCCGAGGTCAGAAGATGAAGATCAGGTGCTCAAGTTATCGCGCACTATACGAGACCCTTCTAAAACACCAAAATGGAAAGAAAGAGTAAAAAGAAAAGCCAGCAGACACACTGTGGACAGGCTCGATGTCCCGCCGGCGCCTTCTGATGCAGACAAGTAGGGCTCTGTGGGAAGATCCATCCTTCTTGTTGAAGAGAAACATTGTGGCGCAGTGAACAGAGGCAGGCACCCCAAACCTGAAGACCTGACTCGATTCTGGGGACCTGCATGGTGGAAGGAGAAGAGCATGTAGCTTACCCACCACAAACACAAATGAGAAAAGCAAAGAAATGAAAGACGTAATTTTATTTCAATGCTGGAGTTCACTCCTACAGGGTTTTTGTCTTAGAAACACATAAAAATAATAATAATAAAAAGATATTACAGTGGAGTGAGCCCCGCTGAACATGGGGACACAGAAAACCTGAGAAAATGGAGGGACCAAAGGGTTGGAATATGAGGGTAGCTGGTATCTTGGAGTGAGGCAAGAGTCCCCTACCCCATCCTGTCCCCGTTCTGTAGGAAGCTGACATCCTGCAGAAGGAAACAAGACAATAACTGTCCATGTGACCAGGGCAGGGGCCTTCCTGTTTCTCAGCCCCTCCCAGACCAGCCTTGGCCAGTGCAGCCTCAGTAGCCAGGGTGACCTGAGATGAGCCCAGGGTCTCAGGCCTTTCCCAGGGTGCCTTGGAGCAGAGCGGAGGGTGGACACACACACACACACACACACACACACACACACGAGAGGGAGTTTGGTGCTAGGAGAGTCCTGGGAAGAAAACAGATTCTTGGGATCCCTATCCCATGCCTCCATAGGGAGAGGGGGACATAGATAAGAGCAATGCCTTCAGGTAGCTGAGAGAAAAGGATTGTCAGGTAGAGAAGAGGGCTAGAGGTTGGGGCAAATGGACAAGAGTGGGTGCCATCAGGTGAGGCAATCAAATATTCAAATGTGTTCAATCAATGCAGTTGACCCAAAATTCCTACCGGGGGATCCAGGCCGACAAAGGGAATCTGAGAGCAGGCTGTGATCAGGGGTGGAAGAAGCCATGAGTGCCCGGGCCACACGGCCCCGAAGTCGCCGAGGGAGGCATCCTCCACCCGTAAGTGTGCTCCTCTTCCTCGGATCCCAGAGCCCAGGAGTGAGCCTGCTTCTCTCAGAACCTACAGTGGTGGCGAGCAGTCATTCTCAGGGGGAGCTGGACCCAGTGGCTGAGAGCCTGCGGGATGGGGTGTCATTTACAGGGGGAGCTGGACCCAGTGGCTGAGAGCCTGCGGGATGGGGTGTCATTTACAGGGGGAGCTGGATCCAGTGGCTGAGAGTTCAGAGGAGGCAGAGGCCACCAGTGGGAGATTAGAAGCCAAACTCGGGCTGCTTCCGGAACACCTTAGTCCTGACCTGCAGAGACCCGGGAGCCGGTAGGATGAATTTAGTGCTTCCTATTCCAGTAGGTGCCCCTCACAAAGCTGCTGCCCCCCACACATCTGCCTTAGCTTCCTCTTGCCTCCTCTCCTCCATCCTCTCCCTTCCCTTCCCTTCCCTCCTCAGCCACGCAGCTCACTGCCTGCTCACCCTTCCCAGGGACTCTGAGGTCTAGCCCCAAAGCCCCTGCTGAGCCTCAGGTGGCTGGGGTCCCGGTTGTCTTCACAGGCCTGAGGATGATTATTGTGTGGGATCCCATGGGGCCCTAGCCTTGAAGCCAGAGGAAGGGTGCAAGGCTGAGGTGGAAAGCCCCCAGAGCCCGCAGGCAGCCACCCTGGATACTGGCCCTGCTGAGACGTCAGTAGCCAGCGTGTTCCAGACCCTGCACAGCAGGCTGAGCTCCCTTGAGGCCACCGTGACCGCCTGGCGCCACCACTCCCTAAGCTTTGCAAGGCCAGCGGAAGGAGAAGATAGTGGCCAGGGGGCACCTGGGTCCTTTGGTGAGGAAGAAGCCAGATCTGGACAGCAGGAGGCAGCTCGCCTCATAGAGAGGAACGCCTGGCTCAGGCTGGCCCTGGGCAGCCGGGAGGAGGAGTTGGTTTGCGCTCAAGCTTCCCTGCAGGATGCCCGGGCAGAGAAGGAGACCCTGCAGAGACAGGTGAGCTTCTGACTGGGGATGGGCAGATCCTGCCTCCAGAACACATTTGTTCAGTCAACAAACTGATGTGGAGCGATGAAAAACATGCCAGAGAAGGGACCAAGGAAAACAGCAAAGTAAAAGAGGGGTCTCGAGGCCCAGACTGAAGGTCAGAAGGAAGCCAGGCAGGGTGCACCCCATGATCTCAGTGCTCTAGAAGCTGAGGAGAGACGATCTCAAGTGAAAAACTGCTCAGCCAAGACCAAGGTCAAATTCTCCTAACTTGAGTTGAAAGCCAGCAGCCAGCCTGGGTGTCAATTTTTTTTTCTGCTTGTTTTTTTTAAAGGTTCTGAGTACCTTGGCAGTAGAGGCCTTGCCTGAAGAGTGTGAGGCCCTGGGCACTGCACACACACACACACACACACACACACCACCGAATAATCCTGTTTTAGGGTTTCTATTTGTGACAAAACACCACAACTAAAAGCACCTGGGGAGGAAGAGGTTTGTTGTTGTTGTTGTTCTCATCTTAAAACTCTGAGGGAAGCGGGCCTTAAAACTCAAGGCAGGAGACCTGGAGGCAGGAGCTGATGCAGAGGCCATGGAGGGTGCTGCTTCCTGGCTTGCTCAGCCTGCTTTCTCATAGAATCCAGGACCACCAGCCCAGGTGTGGCCCCACCACAGTGAGCTAGGCTCTCCCACGTTAGTCATCAAGAAAATGTCCGCAGGTCTATCTGAGGAAACATTTTCTCAACGTTTAGTTTCCTCTTCCCAAATGACTGTAGCTGATGTCAAAGTGACAGAATCAGCACAGATCCTGAGGTCACTGTGGCTAGGATAGAGTTGGGGAGATGGCGGCAAGTGGGGGGCCACCACGGTATTCAGGATGTGGCGGGTGGAGCAGGATTTACCACTGTGTTTTGTGTGTGGTGGGACTGCAGAGGGTTCTGCGTCCCTAGGGGAACTGGACCTGCTGCAGGTGCTCCCTTGCGCCATCTGCTGACTGTGGGAGGGACAGTCTGGTGGTAGATCACACCCCTGATGGTGGGGGTGGGGTGACAGCAGAGAAGTGGTGAAGGGGACCGGAAACGGGCAGATGATAGGAAATGTCAAACCCATCTATAATGGGACAAGCCTGCAATGCTAAGAACTTCATAGGCTGAGACAGGAGAATCACAATTTAACAGTAGCTTGGACAAGATAAGCAAACATCGTCTCAAAAGAGAAGGAAAACAGACTGGGGCAGGGTGCAAACAAAGCCCTGCCTAGACTCTTCCCCTCTTAGCTTGCTGAGACTCCTCTCACCAACACAGAAATGAAATTCTCCTTCCAGAGTGTGGTGGTGCACACTTGAAATTCCAGCTGCACACAGGGTGCACGCCTTTAATCCCAGCACTAGGGAGGCAGAGGCAGGCGGATCTCTGTGAGTTCAAGGCCTGCCTTGTCTTTAAGAACTAGTTCCAGGACAGGCTCCAAAGCTACAGAGAAACCCTGTCTCAAAAAAACAAAGAAACAAAAAAAGAAAAGGGGGGGGGGGGAGAGAGAGAGAGAGAAATTCCAACCACATGGGAGACTGAGGCAGAAGGATGGCTTGAGTTGGGGAGATCCAGACACCACAGAGAAACACTGAGTCTCTTAAAAATTTAGAAAGGAAAAAAGAGCAGTGGCTGCTTTTCCAGAGGATCCACGTTCAGGTCTCAGAACCCACTTGACAGCTCATAACTGCCTGTAACTCCAGTTCCCAGCAACCCAACACCCTCACACAGACGTGCATGCAGGCAAAACACTGATGTACATAAAATAATAAAAATAAATAAATCCTAAAAAGAGTGGAGCTGTCCCTCCCTCCCCCACCCCCTGCTAGTAGCTGCAGTCCCCAGGTTGTTGGGGTGGTAAGTGTTGAGTGGCAGCTGGGGACCTGTCTCGGGTCCTATGGACAGGGCTTGAGGGCTTGGCTGAGTTCCTGCTGCTGGCAGAACTGTCTGTATGTGAAGCCACAGTCTGATCCTCCATCACTGGCAGGTGCAGGAGCTGGAGGATTCCCTGATGCAGCTGGAGGCTTCCCTGCCCACCCCGCTCCTCAGAGCAGGGTGTACAAACAGCAGCAACTCCAGCAGTTCTGGGGCAGAAGGGCAGCCCTGGGCACCTCAGGTGAGCCTGAAGTCTTCAGAGTCTGGGCTGTAATGTCCTCTGCTTTTCCAGTGTTGGGTAAGCTTCAATGTGTGCTTTATGGCTTCCCTAGTGGTGTGTGACAAAACTCTTCCTGGGGAGACACTGTACACATAAACTCATCCCAGGCAGTGAGCCGTGACACACGAGAGTACAGACACCACCAAAGTCCAACTTAGTCCACCAATGAGTTTATTGGGGCTATATATAGGATCATGAGTGAGGGGTTACATACATGAGCAGAAATGACTCAAAGACAGCTGCATCACCAAAGCCCACACCAGCATGCTGACAGCTCACAAAGCTGAGAGCCTGGAGTGCAATTCACAGCCTGAAGGCAGCTCAGCAGATTGGAGAGTGTCCCATCCAAGTGACTCTAGTCTAAACCTCTTCTGGCAGCTGGTCTGATCCCTAGTCTTCTTTGCAACTAATCAGCTGGTCTCAGAAGAACTTTTCTTACTCCAATAGGGAGGATCCTAGTGAATCCGCTCAGTTTCAGGGACTTCCTGAAGCTGTTTGGAGTTGTTTGCTTTCCTGCTTAAGGAGTTTAGAATGTTTCTATCTCAGAGAAAACTGTTAATACAACACATAGTATCTGAAAAATCCTAAACAGGGCCTGGAGAAATGACTCATTGGTTAGGGGTGCTAGTTGCTTTCACAGAGAACCAGGTCCAGTGCCCAGCACCCACATCTCACAAAGATCTGTAACTCTAGTTCCAGGGATCTGACACCCTCTTCAGGGCTCCACAGGCACCAGGCAGGCACATGGTACACAGACAGACTTGCAGACAAACATCCATACACTTAAAATTAAAGTAAAAAAGAAGAAGCTTAAATCACTAATTTTCTGCTTAGGGGCCTGAGACAGTAGGATCATGACCAATAACTGTAGTGAGACCCTGTCTCCAGATAAAACAATAAGCACTGGTGAGATAGCTCAGCTGGAAAGAGTACCTGCTGCCAAGTCTGATGAGCTGGATTCAATTCCTGGAACTCCCAGAGTAGAAATGGAGAACTGACTTCCACAAGTTGTTCTCAGACATTGATTCATGTATCATGGCACACACATGCATACACCCCACCTGTGTACACTCACATACACCTAAAACACAAACCAAAGCTGAAGTTGTGTCTCAGTGATACAGCAGGTATATAGCATGTTCCAAGGCCCTGGTTCTACCCCCAGCCCTGCCAAAACAGAGGATGATGAGTAAATCAAGTCATGTCCTCCTGGCAGGATTCCCCCTTGGCTCACCCTCTTCTCCAACGCCTCCGGAGTGACTCCAGCACCCATATCTTTGAGTGCCTTTCTACACAGCCTTCAGCCCCCGAGATGCACCTCATGGAGGACCAGATGGGGCAGCTCCAAGGGTAAGTGACTTGAGTCACAGCTGCTGAGCTTTTAAGGGCACCATGCCTCCTGCCCCTGAGTTGTGAGAGAGATGGAGGGGAGGAAACTGGGCTCTGGCTGATTGGGGCCTCACTCATCTTCACTGTTGCCCTTCTTTGGAGGCAGAAGCATTGAGAAGTTGAAGTGCTTCAACCGCCTTCTGCTGGCTGTGCTCCAGGGTCACAAGGGCCGCTGTGAGAGCCTTAGTATGCAGCTGGGTCAGCGGGAGGCTGAGGCCACAGCCCTGCGCCTGGCCCTGCAATACAGGTTTGTGCCTACTGCCAATGATGGTGGTGGCTGGGAGTGGGGTGGGGCTGCATCCCAAAATGATCCTATATAAAGAGGGACATGGGACCTTCAGAAGGCACACGGCCTTACCATGAGGTCTTGTTCTGACCCATAAAGTATGTAGGGCAGGGGCTGTCTTTTAATGGTTTGTGGTATTTTTATTTGAGTCAGGGTCTCACTGTATAGCCCAGGTTGGCCTGGAACTTGCTGTGTGGCCCAGGCTGGCTTTGAATCCACAGAGCTCTGCCTACCTCTTACTGGGCTGGGACTGAGTGCTGAAATACTCAGATCCTGTCCCACAGTGAGGATTGTGAGGAGGCATATGGAGTGCTGCTCACTCTGAGGACTGCTGGAGCTGGAGCCACCAAAAGTGACCTGCAGGCTGCGGAGACAGAGGCATCTAGGCTGCTGGTGGAGAAGGAAGCCGCTATGGATGGAGAGATATCCTGGCCCAGGTACCCTCAGGAAGCACAAGAGCTGTGCTGACCCATGGGGTGTGTGTCCCAGAGCCTGCTGCATATGAGGCTGTAATGTCCCTGTCATGGGGCCTGACTGGAATAGGCCACTCAGTGACACCAGATGTGGCGACACAAACCTTTGATCCCAGCACTTAGGAGTCAGAGTTTGAGGAGCTCGAGGCCAGCCTGGTCTACATAGCAAGTTCTAGGCCATACTGGTCTACACAGTGAGATTCTGTCTCAAATAAATAAATACAGCACCAAACATACAAGCAAATCACCATGTAGTCTCACATAGATGCATAGACCCTGGTTTCAACCTCAAAGCTGGAGGGAAAAAAATCAGTGAAAAGAAAAATTATTAAATTTTGGATCCTGACTTCAGAAGTGTCAATCCATCATGGCAACAGGAAGCAGAGAGCAGTGCTCCAGGAAGTGCCCAGGCATGGTGTAGCCCTAAAGCAAGGAGGCACTGTAAAGCTCTGTGTAGCCCTTTATTCTGCCGTCTGTCACAGTACCTGTGAACTCACTCACTGCAGAGAGCATCTCAGCTGTCGGTGCAGCCTCAGTGTCCAGTGTCGACTGTGCACACCACATAATTACATCCAAACTCCCCTGGTGGTCTACCTATCATCTAGGTTCCACCACCTTGCTATGTATCTGACCCTCCTGCCTCCACCTCCAGAGAGCTGGGATGGAGCTGCATGCATGCTGGGCAAGCTCTCTGTGGACTGAGCCCCAGCAGCTGCCATATTATCTGCTGGAAGACTGCCCCGTGGGGACAGTTGTGTAGCACGATTTCCCTCCTGTCTCCTGTAGCCCTGAGGGCAGCAGTGTGGACAAGCCTACACCACAGGAACTGGTTGCTCAGCTCCATGGCTATATCCAGCATCTCCGGGAACGCTGGGCTCTGGTGAAGATCCCCCCAGCGCTCAGCCCTGACACCACACCCTGGCCCACTATGCCCCACGCAGAAGCAACAGTGCAGGCCATTCTGGAAATACAGCCTGGCCCAGCCCTGCCCCGGCTAGAGAAGTCTCAGATCCAGCAGGACCTGGCAGCTACTCGGGTAGGAATGTGTTGACAATGTCACAACACACTCTTTTTTTTTTTTAGATTTATTCATTTATTATGTATACAACATTCTTCCTTGATGTATGCCCACACGCCAGAGGAGGGCGCCAGATCTCAGTACAGATGGTTGTGAGTCACCATGTGGTTGCTGGGAATTGAACTCAGGACCTCTGGAATAGCAGCCAGTGCTCTTAACCTCTGAGCCATCTCTCCATACCCCACAACACACTCTTGAAGATGTCAGTGGAGACCAGAGGCAAGCAGGGTTTCCCTTGGATGGCTGTCCCATCTGGTCCTGCAGTCATTCAGTCCCAAAGAAACACGGAGGCTTATATTAATTATAAACTGTTTGGCCTTTTAGCTAAAGTTAATTATTAACTAGCTCTTACAACTTAAATTAACCCATAATTCCTGTCTATGTTTAGCCACGTGGCTTGGTACCTTTTATCACTGAGGCATTCTCATCTTGCTTCCTCTGAGTCTGGCTGGTGACTGACTCTCTGCCTTCCCTCTTCCCAAAATTCTCCTAGTTTGGTTGCCCTGCCTATAGGATACTGGTCAATCAGCATTTTATTAAACCAATATGAGTGACAGATCTTTACAGTACACAAAAGCATTATTCCACAGCAATAGGCAGTTGGCTTCTTATATGAAGAATTAGAGTTGAGGAGGTTTGTTTTTTCCAAGACAGGGTTTTTCTGTAGCTTTTGAGCCTGGCCTGGAACTCACTCTATAGACCAGGCTGGCCTCGAACTCACAGAGATCCTTCTCCCTCTGCCTCCCAAGTGCTGAGTTGAGGTTTTGAGGGATGCATAGGAGTTTCTCTTCCCGATTAGGGTTTCCTTAAGATTCTGTAAGTTACCTTTGTGTTGCTATGATGAAATCCCTGGCAGGAACAATTCCAGCAGAAGGTCTGTTCAGCGTGGCTGGCAGTGACAGGGTGCAGCCCATCATCAAGCTGTGACTGCGAGAGCCTGAGGCAGCTGGTCACATTGCTTGCGTCTGCACTTAAGAGGCAAGAGGAATGCATGCAGCCCAGCACCCCACCCCCACCCACTACTCTAATTTAGATACTTTTTCACAGGTGTGTCCACAGGGTTGGGGTGATTTTAGATCCCATCACGTTGACAACCAAGATCAGCCACTGCAAGAGGTGTTCCCAACATCCTCTTCCCAAAGCAATGAGTTCCTGGGGCTGGGAGCAGGGTGGCTCCATAGTACAGCACTTGCCTAGCACAAATGAAAACCTCCTTGCTCTCCGACTCCTTCCATGAAAGAAAAGCAGACCTGATGGTGGTACACACCTGTAGTCCCAGCCCTTGAACTGAACTCCATAGTGACACCAGGTCTCAAAAGTATATAATAAGAAAAAATGTAAAAGATAGGAAATGGAGTGACGGCTCAGTGTTTGGGAGTGCAGGATGCTATCACTGAGGATCCTGGTTCAGATCCCAGCACCCATATGGAAGCTCACAACTATTCAACTCCAGCTCCGGGGTCTCTGATGCCCTCTTCTGGCCTCTTTCAGCACTACACTCGTGTGCAAACCCACTTAAACAGGCACTCTAGCCCTGGCTGCCTGGAACTCCCTAGGTAGACCAGGCTGACCTTGAACTCACAGAGACCCATCTGCTTCTGCCTAAAGTACTTGGACTAAGGCCTGCACTATTCTGTCTGCCTGCCATAAAATAAAATTCAAACAATAAAAAGATTTGAGATCTGAGAAATTCTAGACACTTTCACAATGTCATTTCCCAGCTGTGGCTTTTACAAGAAGAAGGCCATGACGCAGGACAAGGTGTTTTCCTGAACTCCTGACTCTTGGCCCCTGCAGGACAGTCTGGCGGACTTGGTGCTGCGGCTGCAGCTGTCCCGGAGAGAGAAGCGCGGGCTAGAGCTGCGGGAGTCCGCGCTGAGGGCCCAAGGCCCCGCCCACCTGCTGCTACTGCAGCAGCTTCGCTGGGAGCGGACTCACCTGGCTGGAGATGGCAGCAGAGGAGGCAGCAGCGAGGACCCGAGCAGCGAAGAGGAGGACGATGAGGAGGATGGACAGCAACACTACCAGGTACTGTGCCCATCGTCGGGGCGCTTCTGAGCATCCTCCTGCTCAAAGAATAAGCAGTAAAGGCACTTGCTGACGACCCCAGGTCAGTTCCCAGGGGTACAGGTCTAAGTATTAAAAATGGGGGCGGGGAAACGGATGGAGTGGTGACTCAGTGGTTAAGAGCTCGGGCTGCTTTTGCCGAGGACCCAGGCTGGATTTCATCACCCACACGGTGTTCACAACCGTCTGTAACTCTAGCTCCAGAGGGTCCAACCTGTTCTGGACTTTGGGTACATGCTGCACAGACATAGGCTTGTAAACACTCATACACAGAAAATGAAAATCAATGAAACTTTTAAAATAACAAAAAATAATTAGAAATCAGGAGAGAGGGACTACTGCAAATCTTGGGGTGCCTTGACAGATCTGGGAATTAGGGTCCCTTTGTGGGTTCTTAGCTCCATTAAAAAGTAATTTAAGAATGTAGCTAAAAGAAACTCAATTTATTAGAATTTGAAAGGAAAACTCCAGGGCAGGCAAGCTCCCTGAAGGGAGGAGGGGGGTGGTCTGAGGAGCTTTAGTCCTTGGTGAGGAAGCTGAGCCACTTAGGGTCTTAAAGTGCAGTGAGGTTCTGGCAGTATCCAAAGGAAAGGAAAACATCCTGAGTCATCCTCGCAAGGGGGAGCCCCAGACCTCATGGAGATGCTGGCATGTGTGTCCCATCCTCTTCACTTGGGCCCACACAGTGGGAAGAGGACACTACCCTCGAGTTGTCTTCTGAACGCCACATGCACACTGTGGCACATGTATGCATGCACATACAACATTAGTAAATAAATACAGTAAGTAGTATAATAATAAAAATCAATCTGGCCAGGTGTGGTGGTGCACGCCTTTAATCCCAGCTCTTGGGAGGCAGAGACAGGCGGGTCTCCATGAGTTCAAGGCCAGCCTGGTCTGCAAATCGAGTTCTAGGACAGCCAGGGCTGCACAGAGAAACACTGACTTAAAGAGGAGAACAAAACAAAGCCCTGACTGGGAACAGGGCGCCTTGGATGTCCAGCCTGGGCTAAATGATGGGGGAGAGTCTTCTGTTTTGTGTTGAGTTCATTGGTTAATAAAGAAACTGCCTTGGCCGTTTAATAGGGCAGAAAATTAGGTAGGCAGAGTAGACAGAACAGAATGCTGGGAGAGAGAAGCCGAGTCAGGCAGTCGCCATGATTCTCTCACACAAACGCAGGTTAAGATCTTTCCTGGTAACTCAGCTCATGGTGCTACACAGATTATTAAATATGGATTAAAGCAAGATGTAAGAATTAGCCAACAAGGGGGCTGGAGAGATGGCTCAGAGGTTAAGAGCATTGCCTGCTCTTCCAAAGGTCCTGAGTTCAATTCCCAGAAACCACATGGTGGCTCACAACCATCTGTAATGGGGTCTGGTGCCCTCTTCTGGCCATCAGGCATACACACAGACAGAATATTGTATACATAATAAATAAATAAATATTAAAAAAAAAAGAATTAGCCAACAAGAGGCTAGAGCTAATGGGCCAAGCAGTGTTTAGAAGAATACAGTTTCTGTGTAATTATTTCGGGTAAAGCTAGCTGGTGACCGGGAGCTGGGTGGCAGGACACAGCCCCGCTGCTCCTCACTACAGCTAAACACAGCATACACATTGTCTCTTCTCTCCTGTCCACTTCCCTTAGGGCCCTCCTGCCCTCCCCAATGGCCAGACGGGCAGAGCATGGGATTCTGAGACCTTATCCCAGAAACTGTCGGCATCCCTCACCCGGTGTGTGTCAGGGCCTGGTTTGGGGCCAGGGGTAAGCGGGCGTGTGGGGAGGCGAGCGAGAGGGTTGGGAGTGACTGGGACGGTCTCTTTCACCCTTGCAGGACAGTAGGCCTTCAGGCACAGCTGCGATCCCTGCGGCAGCAGCTGGAACAGGTGACTCAGAAGGGCAGAACCAGACGTGCTCAGAGTGCAGAGCTGAACCGAGAGCTGTGCAAGGCTCACAGGTGGGTCTCAGAAGCAGCCCCTCTTCTCAGAAAGGCAGCAGCAAGCCCACAGCCCCTGCCTTTAGTTTAGACAGGCCTGTGAATCATAGCCAGGAATCTCCCTTCCCCTGGGCAGCTCCCTGGTCTTGGCCTTCAGAGGAGCCCACCAGAAGCAGGAAGAGCAGCGCCGGAAGTTGGAGCAGCAGATTGCTCGGATGCAGGCCCAGCAGGCAGAGGAGCTGACGGTGCTGGCAGCCACCGCCAGAGCCCTGGAGAAGCCCAGGACTCCACAGCCAGGCCAGACTTTCCTGTAGGACCCAGACCAAACTTGCATGTAACATGCAGCTATGGCAGGCATGTCATAGAATGTCTTGTCATGGGCTGCAGAGATGGCTCAGCGGCTCTTGCAGAGGACCTGGGTTCAGTTTCCGCTCTCCACAGCCAGTGCCTGTAATGTCAACAAGGAGGATCTGGCGCCCTCTTCTGGACGCTCCAGGCTCTACAGTAATGCACACATACACACTCTTAATGAGTAAAGCATCCTATTGTGTCCTCTGTCCCTTGTGGCCAGACCACCTTCTGAGGAGGTGCTGAGTTTCCCAAAGGGGGACAGAGATGGGAAGCGTTCAGGCTAGAGGTGTTCCCAGGGGTGCTGGGGAAGAGGACTCCCAGAGTGCTTTGGGACTGCATTTAGAGGAAGAAAAGTAGGTCATAAGTAGGTCATGTACTTGAAGCCCTCAGAGTTGCCTCTGCCTGCCCATCCCACCAGCCTGTGCTGAGGAGGCACTGGGTTCCCTCTCCAGCACCGCACAAAGGGAAGTCTGTCCCTGCCTGTAATGCCAGCACTCGGGTTCAAGGCTTTCCTCGACTACACAGTAAGTTTAAGGTCAGCCCGGACTACATGAGACAGCATCTAATGATGATGATGAAGAATGAACGAGGAGCTGGAGACGTGGCTCACTGTTGCACTTGCTGCTCTTGCAAAGGACCTTGGTTCCATTCCCAGTATAGTGGCCCACAACTGTTCATAACTTCAGTTCCTGGGGATCCAAAGCCCTTATCTGGTCTCTGTGAGCATCAGTCACACACATGGTACACAGACACAAATGCAAGAAATCACACATTCATCTAAATATAAAAAGAATGATGAATGAGGGGCTGGAGAGATGGCTCAGAGGTTAAGAGCACCGACTGCTCTTTCAGAGTCCTGAGTTCAATTTCCAGCAAACACACGGTGGCTCACAACTGTCTATAGTGAGATCTGGCGCCCTCTTCTGGTCTGCGGGGACACATGCAGGCAGAACGCTGTATACATAATAAATGAATAAATCTTTTAAAAGGTCCTAATGAATGAATAAGTAAATAAAACTAAAAATGGGCCAAGAGAGGTGGCTTACTGGATAACGGTGACTGCCGCTGAGAATGACAGTTTGAGGTCAGTTTCCAGAGCCCACACAGGTGAACTGGAGAGCGGACCCACAAAGCTGTCCTCTGACCACACAAGAAGAATCCGGAGAGTTGGCTCAGCAGTTAAGAGCACTTACTGCTCTCTCTCTCTCTCTCTCTCTCTCTCTCTCTCTCTCTCTCTCTCTCTCTCTCAATTTTTTGAGACAGGGTTTCTCTGTGTAGCTTTGGTGCCTGTCCTGGAACTAGCTTGCAGATCCCCCGCCTCTGCCTCCCGAGTGCTAGGATTAAAGGTGTGCGCCACCACTGCGTGGCTCACTCACTACTCTTTCAGGGAACTAGAGTGTGGTACCCAGAATCCATGTCTGGTGGCACCTCTGACCTCCTAGGGCGTCTACACACACACTGAGTGCGGACACTTGGGACCCGGCGACATTCCACCCTGAACTTGTGCGTAGAGGAGGTCAGGGCTTCTGGAAGGGAGACTGTTTTATGTGTGTAATAGCAGCTGACTGAGTGGCAGTGGACCGGCCACAGCCCTCGCTGTGGGGGCTGGGATGGGGTCCAGCTGTCCCCTCCAGCTTGAAATCCTAGAGCAGGATTAGTCTGGGGGTGGGCCCTGCAGGCCACACCTGAGCAGGTGTGCTTACCAGCTGTCTGCCCTCAGGGGACAGCCACAGTGCCCCAGAGCCGTGAGCCCGAGACTGAAGCAGTCACTGGGGCCGGAACCTGTGTTTGTCCCAAACTCTCCCACTCCCTGCTGTGAGGCAGGTCGTCTTGCTGGTGTGAGTGGGTGTGGGGAGGTGTGGGGGCATGGGGGGCAGCGTCCTTCTTTCACTCCCCTCCCATCCCTACAAGTCCTTGGTCCTCTCGTGCACCCATGTAGGTCCCTGGAGTTGAATTCAGGTCTACAGGCTTGGCAGCAAGCAAGCACCTTTGCCCACTGAGTAGACAACGACTTTTTAGCCACCAGGTCATTAGTGGTCAGACAAGGTCGCCTGCTGGGGTGAGGGGCAGGTTCCCAGCAAACTGTGTCTGGCTGTTCCCACGGACATCCCAGCGGCAGATGGGCCCAGTGTCTTTGTCCCCAGCAGCCACAAGGTCAAATGTCACCTCGGGGCCACGGGCAGGGGTTACGGGGGCGTAGCTAGGCCCTGCCCACCCTCAGTCGGGCCTCAAGAGAGAGGGGGTGGTGGGGACACTGGGACAGGGGCTGTACTCTCCCATCCCAAACTCTCCCTTCCCTTAGACTAGCCCCACAAAATTCGTTTGTTCGGGCTTGTGACTCAGTCCCCCTTCCCATGGCTTTTCTCCTAAGCCCCCGCCCCACTTTTAATCGTTTCTCTGAGATACTGAGATTCTAGAACAGTCCGGTCTAGGACCCCCGTCCTACCCCAAACAACCAGGACTCCAAAACTACTGTACCTTCCGGGCCCACCCAGGCTTTGTTTCCACTAAAGCAGAGCTGTTTTAATCAGATTCGTGGGAAATCCTTGAGTTTATCCCTAGCCCTTCCTGCTTTCTGTATTTGGCTGGTCACACAGTGCCTAGGCAGAGTCTTGGGGGCAGCAGAGGCTTGGGCATCAATCACTCTTCCTTTCTTGTGGGGTGACTTTCACAAGGCCCCTCAGGGGCAGAGGACTAGTTAAGAGAGCACAGGGAGTCCCAGCCGCTCACCCTAGTGTCCACACTGGACCCAGGCCTGCGCAGGAGGCAAAACAGGCCTGGCGGGCAGAACCATGACTCAGAGGTGAAAGGTCACCCCGGGAGGGGCTTTTCCAGACAGTTAACGGGTTAAACGTTAACAGACCTGGAGTTAGGCCTCAGCTTCCCACCTAGGCCTCCAGCATGAAGGGAGATTAATAAATGCTTGCCCTGAAGGTGCCCTGCATACAAAGGGTGCTTAATAAATGTTTGCTCCCTAGAACTTGGTCTAGAGAGGGAGGTGGGAGGCTCAGGGGAGTGGTGGCAGCTGGGAAGCTGCGGGGAGCGGGGAGACATCTGTGGCCCAGCCGGTCACCGGGCCAAGCCCTCTCTATGAAGCAGAGAAAGAAAAGGAAATGAAGGAGGACCGGGGACAACAGCCAGGGGCTGGCACGCCTTCCGGCCGCCTCGAGCCACGCTGGAAGGGCGACGGGCGTCCTGCCTCTCCCCGCCCGGGGGCCTGAAAGGCGAAGGGGACCCCTTGACCTCACGGCGCGGCCAGCAGACCTCGGGAGGCCGCGTCCCCTCCGCCCCCGGACTCGGGGACCAGGTGTTCACCGGAGCAGAGCGCGCGGGGCGGGGTGGGGCGGGACCGGCCGCGGAGACTTTGGGGAGGGGGGGCGGCGGGCTCCAGCTGGCAGCCGTGCGGAGCAATGCGGAGCGCGCGTGTGCGGCGGGGGCGTGCCCGGGTGCAGATGTCCCCCGGGGGCGCGGCTGCGGGGCGCCGCACGGAGCACGGGGAGGCCCCGGGCAGGGCGCGCAGGGGTTAAGGCTGCGCGGCCGCGTGGGGGAGGGTCAGCCGCGCGCCCCGCCCCGCCCTCTCGCCGGCCCACGGCTCCGGGCGGCGCGCGGCTACCCCATGCCCTTATAAGGGCGGCCGTCGCCGGGGCAACGAGCGCCCGCCCCCGGCCGCGCCGCGCGCCCCCGCCCCGCCCCCGCCGGCGCCGATGGAACGCGGGTGTCAGGCCGGCCGCAGCGCGGGGCCGGCGGCGAGCGCCAGGGCGAGGCCGAGGCTCGGGCCCAGGCGCAGGCCCAGGCCGGCCGCGCTAGCGTTCGGCGGGGAGAGGAGCCGAGGCGGGCCCGCACTCCCCACTCGGCTCTATTGCCCGGACCTCCGCGGTTGCGGCCGGGCGCGCGCGGCGTCCGGGACTCCCGGGCTCCGGCGCGCGCTCCCGCCGCCCCTCCCCCCTTGACGCCCAACTTGCGGCCAAAGTTTTCCCCCTCCCCCGGCTCGGGGACGCGCGCGCGCCCTCGGATGGCGAGCCACTAAATTGGCCTGGGCGGCGGGGCCGGGCCATGGCCCGCGCGTCCCCACCGGGTCCCCAGGACTCCGGACCACGGGACCCGGGCGCCCCAGACCCGCGCCTCTAGCGCGCCCCCGTCGGCCGCGGGCACGCGTGGGAAAGTTGGCCTGGAACCGGCCCGACCAGTTCCTGCCGGGCGCGCGGACCGGCCGCAGGAAGTTGCCGCAAAACTTTTTACTGGGGGTGCGACCCGAGCCCCCCGAGCGAGCGGGCTGCATGCGCGCGGGGTAGCCGGGTCCCCCTCGGGTCGCCAGGCGTGCCCAGAGGGGACGGACTCGCCCCGGGCGCCCCGGCCCCGCCGTCCCGGGGGCTATGGCCATGGTGACCAGTGGCTGGGGCGGCCCCGGAGGCGACACGAACGGCGTGGACAAGGCCGGTGGGAGCTACCCACGCGCGACCGAGGACGACTCGGCGTCGCCTCCCGGAGTGGCCAGCGATGCGGAGCCGGGCGACGAGGAGCGCCCGGGGCTGCAGGTGGATTGCGTGGTGTGCCGGGACAAGTCCAGCGGCAAGCACTACGGCGTGTTCACCTGCGAGGGCTGCAAGAGTTTCTTCAAGCGCAGCATCCGCCGCAACCTCAGCTACACCTGCCGGTGAGCCCCACGCGCGGCCACCGGGCCGGCCCGGACCTGCACGGTCACCTTGGGCCTGACACTGACCTTCCCTGGACCCGTATCCCTGCCCAGGCGACGGGCACGGCTGCGATCGGGTATACAGTTGGCGATGCATGCGTGCAGGCCACCCCCCACCCCCGCAGGTGGTCTTCGGTCCTCTTCTGCCCTAGAGAGCTGGCTCTATTGCGCGGGGAGGGCTTGCAGACGATGTCAGGAGTGGGGACCCCCTTTCCAGCCCCCAGGACCCCCATTCTCGTGGGAGTCTGTCACGCGTGGTGCCCCGCGGGAATCAGACGTGCAAGTCGCACCGCGGGGCTGGCGGCGTCCAGGGGCCATTGTCTGCGGCCGCGCGGATCGATTCGGCGCGCCCTTGGGTCAAATATCACTTCCAAAGTCGCCCTGGCACGGGCAGCTGGAGGGACGCCCGGGTGGCTCGGGATGGCTGCCCTCGCCGGCGGCAGGGGGCTGCTGTGCACGGGGACCTGGGCCTGTCCATCAGAGGGACACCCCATGGGCTCTGGGTCACCGGAAGCCGCCGCCGGAGGGCCAGCAAGGCCACCGGAATTGACCGCACCCCCCACTCCGGGACTGGTGCAGCCTTGGGGCCCCGGGACGATCCTTTAAACTTCGGGGCTGCTCTAGGAATGAGAGACCCGTGGGAGATGGGGACCCCTCTGCGGGTCTCGGCAGGGCGTGGCCTTGCTTACTGGCAGCTGCTGGGGACAGAAAGTCCCTTGGAGAAGAGGTTGGGTGCTCAGGCCCGGCAGGGGATGCGGACCACTTTTTGTCTATGCTTGCAGGAGCCGGGCTCTGCAGGGCCTTAGAGCAGGCTGACAGCCCTGTTTCCGAGGTACCCAGAGCTGAGCCCCAGAGAAGTTTAGACCACCCCGGGTCAACAGAAGGGTCCTGGCCCTGTGGACTTAGCAAAGGGAGCTGTGGGGGTTGGGATGTGGAGTTGTTGGGGTGAGGAATTGGTAGAATCTGGAGTTGGGTTTCTTTCCCCCCAGAAGTTAGCAGCTGGTGACCGGTCAGTGGGGGGCTGCCACCATGTTAGAATTTGGACTTACTGGAACCTGCTTTGCTCCCCTCCCCCAGCTGTAACTGGGCCACCAGACTTTGGCCTCA